GTCCTGCTGCAGCCTGTTTGGATCACCTAGAGGGCAGATGTGTGTTAAGGGGATAATTTACAGCGCCCACATCTGACTCCCTACAAACACCGGAACTCTCGGTTTTAATACTTTGTGATTCCATCTTCTTGACGCCTGGGCAGGAGAGGGGATTGTGCAAGTTCACTTGGCAGGCAGTCCACAGGCACACATCTGGAGAACATTACGTCTGCAGGAGACGTGAAACCAGGGTCGGTGCACGACTTACCCGTGGATATCACACTACGTGTCATTAAACACGTCGCTTTTTTTCTTTTACACCCTAACAGATCACGGGATGCTTTCAGACAGAGGGTAAGCATCCTGATGTGGCAGCATGAACGGAAAAAAGTGACAACAGCAGGAGGATGAGGAGGCCTGCGCTCAATGAAGGTGGATTTTGGATCGAGCTGGCCTCTGGGCCAACGTGTGGATATTTCAAACACAGCTGCAAAGTGCGTGTCTGTGACTTTATACGGAGGGGGTAAAAAAAGGCTCTCCAGCGGTGGGTTTGCACAGGAATGCAGTGGAGACACAAATTGTTGCACGCTGCTCCCCCCTCCTCTTCCCAGCCACCCCACTGGCTTGCGTAACGTGAAACGTAGCAGCAAAAGGTAACCACACAGAGACAGGGGCAGAAAAATGCTCGCTTTAACGCTCGTCTCTGTCATTTTCTGAAGTCTGCTGGCACCCCGGTGAAGCGTCACGGCGCACAGGGAACATCTGTAACGGAGCGTTTCTGCCTGGGCTGCAGACACACACGCACACGGCACCAGCACGGCGGGTCTCGGTAGCTGCTGTGAGCCGTTTATTTCTGCCACCCCACCGACCATAAGCCGCTCACATCCTTACCTGCAGTCGCTCCGACGCAGGTTGCCACATGTTCGCAGAATCAGAGGTTCTCCGTCTCTTACTACAGCTTGTTCTCCTCCCGTAGTCCGGCTCACATCTGTTCGCCTTCACTGCTTGCCTCTCCGTCCTCCTTCTCTCTGGACTGGTCGATAATGAAGGATAGGTTGCTCCGCCTGGCTGTAGTTAACGCAGTGGCCACCAGGTGGAGGTACCTGCTATCCACGATGGGGCGCTTCGTGCTGCTTTCAAGTGCGGTGGGAAATCGAGGATCGATACGGTTAAGCTGATGCTTTGAATCTGCAGCCTGATTCTTAGGGGGACTTTTTGTTGGTTTAATCTGAGAGTATAAATGCTGCTTTAGCTAGTTTTTTTTGTTTCTTTCTTTCTTTTATACACATTTTAACACTTCTCACTTTGTAATTTCCTTTGAAAAATCCATCACCTTAAATATTAATATTGCACATATCAGATTATACACTATTCGTCCCTGGATTCTCCTCTTCCATTTGGAGCATCTTCCAGTTTATTAATCTGGTTTCATGCAAGGTTATTGTAGTTAACTAAAATGAAACTATAAATTAAAATTAAATAAACTAAAATAACTCTAATAAAATTAAAATAAAAACTAGACTTTTGTGAGGAAAAGATAACCGAATACATTTTGTGAACTTGGAAAACTAAAATAAAAATATGGAAGAAACGCGCTTTAGCACCTGTTAGTTTATTTACATTTACATAACATTTATTACAGCTTACCTGACGAGGCATTGATGGATGTGTTTATTGAGACAAGACTGTGACTTAACTGCTTTCAAAAAGATGTATGTTTTATTGTAATACTTGTATTATCCTAAATCTCGCTTCTGACATATTCCCTTCTTACAGTAATAATTAAAAAGACTGAAACTAATAAAAATTCAATCAAAACTAAACATTTTTAGGCAATAAAAGCTAAACTGACTAAACTGACTCTGGAACTATAATCACTCTGGTTTCCTGATCTCAGGTCCATTTTCTTTGGTTGATTGTGCAACATCAAGGTTCTTCTTGGAGATCCCGTCACTGCAGGCCTCAGTGAAGTAAATTCTATACTCCCAAAGTCCTGCATTTCCCATTTCCACATACATCCTTTTTCCAAGGCCCTATTTTTTCCACCCAGCTCTGTGAAGCAACACGAACATCAAAAGGCGCCCATAATGAAATTTAGCCTCATTACAAAAATGAATTAAAGGCCCTCGAAGATTAGTCATCTGGACCAAAACAACCAGAAGTGGAAGAATGCAGTCAAATCAAAAGAAACGTTATGTAAACCAAACAAAAACAGCATTATTTCAGCGGCTAGCAGCAATGAAAACGTGGTTAGTTTAAGTCTTCCGGTCTCATAAATCCCAAGTTGAACAAAGGCAGCTAAGGACAAAGAATGTTATGCTGCCCACACATTTTGATCTCCTTAAGCGCCTAAAAAACAAAGGCTGACTGTATCGGCTCAGAATGACCTTGTTACTCTACGAGCTCAGTCTGGAAGAGATATTCGTGAAAAACATCATCTGTTATTTTCTCGAAAATTGATCAATTCATTTTACTGCCGCCAAAAGTTGGATAATTTTTAATCTGCTGTCGTGTTAAAATGAAACTTTTAGCAGTAGACGGCGCCATGTGAAACAGCCTGACCCTCCAAACCGCTCAAAGGGCAGAGGTCAACCTCACAAAGTCTCGGAAACAGACTGCAGGAAAAGACAAGAGCCAGCAATCGCATCTGGTCCTCCTGCAATGTGTGTGTGTGTATGTGGGTCGACACACACAATCTACGTAGGTGTGAGGAACGACATGACTCCGCAGTCGCAGTCTGTGTTTAGAGATGTTTACACGGGGAAACATCTGGATAAAGCCTGAGGTCACTGAGGGTGTTCGCATTACCAACACTCCATAAAAGGTCTGTCGCACGGCTTACGGTTCAGTGTGGTGGGTATGACCTTGGGAACAGAAAAACAGACGCTGTAAATAGCTAGAATCCACGTTTTCAGAAAACAGTTTAATCGCTGTAGCTCCATGTGTCCACCCATCATAGCTGGATTATTAGCAGAGCAGCAGCAGCATCGCTCGCTCAGTAATCACACTTCAAAATTCTGATGCTGCCACCTTTTTTTATGTTGTGTTTGGGCGAGATGCAAACTGATGAACTGGAGGTGCTCTGTTAAAAAACATAAACAAAGTCCTTTTTGTATGTATAGAACGCTATTTGGTAGAAAACCATGTTCGTGTTTCTCAGTATTGTTTTGGTATGAGTTCTAAAGCGCCTCAGGCCTCAGGTACAGCACTGGTACTAGTAGCACAACACTTTTTCAATCTGATAATAAATCTTTACACTGCCTGTAGAAAAGGGCACAGTACCATTACTGCTGCTAAAGCTGTGACAAATGAGCTCATAGGTTCATAGGTGCCCTGGACAGAAGACAGCATTACACTTCCTCGTCGGTGGATCTGTTTAAAGCGTTTTGATTCACTTGATCGTGATTTGCAGATGAGCAAACTTATTATCGCTGGATTTGATCCTAAGGCTGACTGGTTTCAAAATCAAACTCAGGATGTTTGTGTAGACGGCCCAAAATCTCTCTCCCTCTTTAATGAGAAGTGTCGTGCAGAGTTCCCTTTTCGAAACCTATGATACTGTGCAAAAATCTCGAGCCAGTGCTTATTTCTTGATATTTTGCTTCCAAGGATCCAGACTTTCTATTAATGTTTCAATGTTGTCTTGAACAAAAGTTCTCCAAGTTTTTCTTTGAGGTTGTATGTTTTTTAAAACAATTTTAACTGTTTGTTTGGTGTACTTGCACTAAACTGTGACCTATGAATCATTCAAACATTTAAAAAAGGCACCTAGCTCAAGTGATCAACCAGCATTGCGTTTACACATAACAAAAAACTTTGTTACTAGTACCCTGTTTCTTACCCCATCATTTAACCGAACCTATTTTTAAAAATGCCAGAAATATTACAGTTTTGACATTCATTAATTTGTATTCTCGCACCAACAAAATGGTTCCCGATGAGTTATCAGGTAAATACTTGGTATATCTCAGCGTGGATGCAAAAAAAAGAGGAAACTGGGTGAGTGAAGGACAAAAGTAGAAGTGGCAGGCCTAAAATTTTTACATTTGATGGAATTATGAATGCAGACAAGTACCATCAGATTTTGAGCCACCATGCAATACCATCTGGAAAGCATTTGATCAGCAACATCTTCATTTTTCAGTATGACAGTGATAGTAAAACACACTGCAAATTCAGTAAAAGCATACCTGGGTAGAAAAACCACACAGCAGAACTCTATCGGTTGATCTGATATCGTCGTGTTGGTGTTGTTCCCAGATCATCATACTAAATGTTGTTCCAGGATCAACATTGCAAGTGACCAATCAGAATGTTGTGACGTCATACTTTTGCGACTTCGGGAAAATCCGGCGTAAAACAAAAAACTGTACTAAAGCTGCGTGAAATCGCCTCTGTCCGCCGATCAACGGACCCTGACCCTAACCCTAACCCTTTAATAAACAGTAAGCAGAATTGATATTGTCCTTGCAACATTGGAATTTCATAAATGCACGAATGGCTTGGCGCGCAAAAGAATAACGTCACAACAATGTGATTGGTCACTTGCAATGTTGAACCTGGAACAACATTTTTATGATGGTCTGGGAACAACACCAACACGAGGATATCAGATCATCCGAACTCTATCAGTCATGGACTGGCCTCCCCTCAATTGAGATCATGTGAGATCATGTTGACTGAGAACAATACAAAAGACAGTCGGCATCCGAAGAAGAGCTTTGAATGTCCGTTAAGAAGCCTGGAGAACTATTCCTGAAGACTACTTACTGAGAAAGGTCAGGCTTGCACATGTTTTAATAAATCGCTGCACATAATTCCCATTTTTTTGTTATATTTCTTTCATTTTCAGTATTGCTTGAGTTTTCATGGCCAGGCCTCCTTTAGAGAGAAGAGACTTGATCTCAGTGGGACTTCCTGGTTAAATAAAGGTCAATAAATCAAACGCTTTCAAACAAGTATCCTGCCCCAAATATGATGCATGTGGTACAGTACACATGAGACACACATAAAGAAGTCACTTATGTTCACTTGAATCTTTATTGTTTACATAATTCAACAGAGATAATAGTTTATCATGTTGCTGCGGTTTAAAACGGGAGAAAAAAATGGTAGGATTAGCTGAGCCTATTGGTAAAACATTGCTTGATCTCGAGAGGAACAACAGAGCTGCACAGACAGAAAGTTTTCCACTGGCAGAACACAGAAGCACATATATTCTGGACTAGATAACATCTCCTCCGTCTTCTCCAAACTAAAGCCAACAAGAGGCCACTCTAGCAAAGAAACTGACATCCAGAAACTAATCGATGCTGCCAACACTAGAGGTGAATTTGTACACTGGGAGGAACAGGTACACTGAGTAGAACCAACTATGTTTCTGTGCAGTGAGAAGTATACCTACCTATTATCCTAAATATCACTTAAAAACATACAGTAGGATGGTAGGGTCACAGTACTCCAGCAAACCGACTTTCTGTACTATTCAAACACCACTTAGAAACTTGCATGTAAAGAACAGGACAATATAATATAAAGGGGGGGAGGGGGAAAGGCTGTGACTAGTATTTTATACATTTATGTATTTTGTCTACTAACCACAAAATTCCCTAAAGAAAACATTTGGCACAATCTTGACAGAGAGAAATACAAGTGCAATGGGAAGAAAAGAACAACCAACAACTGAGTACAAAGGTTTTAAAATATTTGCAGAGAGAACATCAAATCTAACCATGCACAAAGTAAGGCAACCTACTGCAGATTCTTTCATGTTTTTTTAATATAGAAAAAGATACAGTGACAAGTGCACCTATTTCTACAACACCTGTAAGGACTGTTGTCAGCGCTGTCTGCTAAGTTTACGCTTAGAAATGTGGGCTCCCGGGATGCTAGCCCCACCTGCAGACAGACAGTCTGGTGCAGACTAAAGTCATCACTCTATTGTACAGCAGAGATTACTGGTAGTGTTGCCTGTCATCATTAATAACTTAAGTGATGCAAAGAATGCTCTTACGCTACAATAAAGCCTTATTGTGAACTTGGACAGGAAAATAGATGTATCAAATTCCAGATTTGCTCTTTTTAATCTACAGTCTATGTTTTGCATTATTTTCTTTTTCCACTTTACATTCAGTTTTCTTTTGCTCTTATTTTAGATTTGTACTGGCATTATGTATATGTGCGTGTGTGTGTGTGTGCGTGTGTGTGTGTACAGCCTGTAATGGTGAAACGCAGTCGTGTTTTACAAATCCTTTGTCTTGATGAGGGTAACCAGTGGCTTGTCATCAGGACTGTAGTCTTCATAGGCGATGGGAGTGGCGTCATACATCGCAGGTCTGGACTTTTTCCCAAATCTAATTTAAAAAAAGCCGAATGTTTATCAAATATTGCAGCGTAAGAAGGTGTTTTGAGAGAATGACAAGTGCTTTTAAAGCTGGAGGAGATAATAACCCAGAAAAAGTACCAAAAAAAGTACAAAACATCCTGACTACCCACCCTACTTTAAAGAGTTAGTTAATTATTGTTCAAGAAAGACAAACAAAAGACAGATAATACTGAAAAATGTTTTTAAAAAGCACAAGTGGAAGAATCCAAGATGCTCTAGCTTTAATTAAAAAATCCCAAAAGTTGACTCGGTGCTGTCTTCAGTTAGACTCTGCCTGCCTGTTAAATGTCACTGCGTCCTAAACTGAACATGCACAGTGTGCAGAGCAGAATTTCAGATTAAGTGCTGCCACAGAGCTGCTGGTGACCGGTAAAATGGCTTTGACAGATCACTCCTGACCTTGGCAGCAGCAATCGAGAAAAACTGTTATGACTGAAGGTTACCGTACCCGTTTCTTCTGGATTCTGAGATATACAAACACGGCGACAACGCATCAAAAAGTTGTGTTAATTAAAAAGAATATTTCTGAGTTAACTTGGTCAATTTTGGATTTCTAAAAAAAAGGGGGGGCAGCGTGGGTGGATGGTAAAACTAACATCCAAGAAATGTTAAATGCAAAGCACTCATAAAAACAGCTCATTAATCACAGCAACTGAACGCTGACACACAAATCCTGTCACTGACCTGGCATGGCGGATGGAGGCGATGGCGTTGCTGAACTCGCTGTCAATGCTGCGGCAGTTGTAGAACTCCTGGTAGGCGTGGCGGGAGGAACCTTGATACTCGATGCGGCTGATGCGGCAGATGCCCACAATGAGGATGATGAGCATGAGCACGAAGGCCACGCACAGAGCTCCAATTATGATATAGAGGGAGTGGCGGGGCATGTTGGTCAAGGTGTCCTCAGTGTGTGCAGGCTTCCACTGCAGGTCTAACACACACACACACCCACACACACACACAGGGATAGATCTTTGTGTTATATTATTCATGCATAAGATTCAACCTCTCAAAAAAAAAATTATTTTCAGAAATGCAGGTAAAGCTGTAACAGTGCATCTTAATCTCAGAATAATGTGATTTACTATTTCTTTCAGGGTTGCTATAAACATGAAATTTGTAAGTTGAAAGATAACAGCCATAATTATATTTTAGCATTGGTTTAACCATTACAGAAACACACAAGAAATGGTAAAAAATATATATATAAATCTGCTACTGTAAATTTGTGTGTGTGTATAGGTTAATAAAGATCAGTCACAAATTTAATTTTTTAAACTGTTTAACCTTCACTGAATCAGAAAAATACAACTCTTGAGATAAAATCTCTTTTGCAAGCGTGTCTTAACAACCATGTTCTGCTCATGTGCCATTCACTCCCCAGGAAAAACACTGAAATATCAAAAGGTTTTTTGATATGATTGCTCACGTAGATATGTACCTGCACAAGCAGGGAAAATGCTTTTTCGTTTGTAGTAAACATGGGGAGGAAATGGAGCTCAAACCACTGAAGAAAACATGTTTCTGCTCGCCAGAGGTGAGTGAGTGGAGTCATATGAGGTCAGGTTTAGCATACTGTCACTGCAGACTCTGCACATTACCACTGCTGGAGTCTCAAGTTTGTCAGCCCTGAAGGGGACCCTCACTTGCCTGGAGAGTTGCCCCAAGAGTTGGCTGTCTTGCCTGACAGAGTAAGCCACTTCTGGAGCTCAACACTGAATCAGCCCAGCAGTGAAGTTACAGCAGTGCAAACTGTGCATCGTGTCGTCAGTAGAATTTGTGTGTAGTCAGAAGTTTGTGTTGCATCCAAATCTGCTGGCAGGCATCTTTTTTTAATTCTGCCAAACACGTTTCATGTAAACTGTATGCAATGATTTCTATGTTTCTATGAACTTAGTGTCTTCAATAATATTAATATTTATTAGCAAATTGTGTCTGTTATGATAACTCATATTATGGGAAGCACGGTGGCACAGTGGTTAGCACTGTTGCCGCACAGCAAGAAGGTCCTGAGTTCAATTCCAACATCAGGCCGGGGTCTTTCTGTGTGGAGTTTGCATGTTCTCCCCGTGTTTGCGTGGGTTCCCTCCGGGTACTCTGGGCTTCCTCCCACAGTACAAAGACATGCAGTTAGTGGGGATAGGTTAGTTGGATAATCCAAATTGCCACTAGGTGTGAATGGTTGTCTGTCCTTGTGTGTTAGCCCTGCGACAGACTGGCGACCTGTCCAGGGTGTACCCCGCCTCTCGCCCTATGACAGCTGGGATTGGCTCCAGCGCCCCCCGCGACCCTGAAAGCGGTAGCGAATGGATGGATGGATGAATAATAACTCATATTCCAGTGATGAAATGATGATGACCATGTGAAGTTTGCCTTTTCTTCCGCGTTTCTGTAAAATGTTTCGCTCTAAGTCAGAGACGTGCTAAAGTGTGCTGACCTGCATTGTGTTTTTGGCTGCATGTTTAGGCCAAAACGCTGATTAATCATTTGAAATCAAAGTTTAGGCACTCCCATCCAGTTTGCCAATATACTCTGCTGTAAATCCTGCACTGAAATATGAGGATTGTTTGTTTATTAAACCTAAAAATCAGCATGGAGTCACTGACAGAAGCGCATCGACATACAGCCTTATATCGTCTTGATGCATTCTCAATCATCCAGGTAAGTAATCTCCAAAAGTTGATTCTGTTCATCTGGACGTAGCATTTTGTGGGAACGCGGAGTCAAGGAGGCCATTTACATGAAAAGGGAAAGACCATCCCTGAATCGAGGAGGGGGCCTATGGGTACATCTTTCACCATCTTACAATGTTTGATTGCTGCCATTCCCCAACTCTCTGTGAATGGTACTCATGGCCACTGATCAATGGTCTTTGATCAGTGGGTTTTGGTCAGTGGTTGTTGATCAATGGTCATGAGAATTTGCATAATTAAGATTAAGGAACTGACCTCCCAGCCCATTGTTCCTTCAGTGGGCTGGTTTCAGTCATTATGCAAATGTACTGTTTATAAGATTTGGGGAAACCTGCAGTCAGCTGAGACTGAAGAAGTCACTTGGATGAGTGACGAAACGTTTCTCCCACAAAACGCTACGTCCAGATGAACAGAATCAACTTTTGGAGATACAGCCTTATAAATTAGATTTTGATATATTTATTTCAGAAATGATTCCTAATAAGGTGTATGCTGCATCAGACAATAACACAGGTCTGCAACCAAAAAACCGCAGAGGATTTTTTGACTGTTTCATATTTTTCCTCACTGAAACTTGGAAAAATATTCCATCATGTCAGGTTTTCTTCAAAGCTCATGTTTTTAGTTCAATTAAGTGTACAATTTCCCTTTTTATACTGAAATCTGGTATCCTATACTTGAGTTAAAATATATCCAATAATGATTTCTTACATTAATTTCATCTTTCTTACAGCGAGACTTGAAAGAAATACAAATAGAAAATGCGAGGAATTGAGGGGGGTCAGTAGGAGGGGGAAGGTATGGTGGGTTTGGTGGTGTGAGGAGCTTAGATGATCATGTCCCAACAGTTTTATTTTGGTCATCGTGAAAGGTAAGGAATCTAAGAAAAATTATGCACAGTTAATTGTAATAAAACACTGATTTTCTTCATCGCTGTTTCTGTTCCAGGGGTCAGAGATGTTCTACAGGACAAGAGTATCTTCACCAACAAGTTTGGAGGTTCTGCAGGAGCTGTTTTGATCTGGGAGCTTGAATTCAAAAGAGCCTCCTTCTTCTTGCGATGATAAATTCTTCTGCGTGAATGTTGCTGGTGAGAGTGAACAGCAGGGAGAAGCAGAGCTGTGTGACTGCAGCCTTCCTGCTCAGAGGTCTCCTAGTGAGTGTCATACAAACACTGATGCTGCCCGTGAGCTTCCTGTTTGTGGTTGGAGGAGGAAGGTCACTTCTTTATCACGTCATCGGGGAAAACTTTGAAGCATTTGGCTCATTATCAAGCAGCATATCTGCTTCTACACAGGTTAAAGAGCGGACACATACTGATTTAAGAGTTTGCTGCATGGGTCCAGGGGTGTCAAACATGCGGTCTGTGTCCATGCACTTTGGCACAATAGATGGCTTTGCAAGGCAGATTGTATCTATGGTTTTTCAGCAGAATTTTCTGCTATTCTGACAGAGGTGATGCCAGCATTACCATGTAGATGTGAAAATATACGTACACCGAAGAGTATCATTAGTTTTTAAAATCTTTAGAATGGTTTTTTGTTTCTTTTTTGAAGTTTTAAAAAAGATTCAAATCTCTTGTTTTATTCTCAGCCTGCCCACGTCCTGCATTTAGGTGTGAAAATCATATCACAGACGATGGTGCCCACTGAAAAGTCAATGGGTCAAAGGGTTAGTTATCAGGGACCAGGAACTACATTCAAATTTCAACCTCACAGTGGAAAGTCAGAGGACCACTAAAGACAATAAGATTCCGCCTCTGGAACTCGTTGTGTGTGTGTGTGTGTGTGTGTGTGTGTGTGTGTGTGTGTGTGTGTGTGTGTGTGTGTGTGTGTGTGTGTGTGTGTACTAGGTGCGGCCCAATCATCATTTTATTATCTAGAATAATATCTGATGCGATATTTTCTGACAGGGTGACTTACGGATCTCGCAGCTGGGTCCCACCCACCCAGGTGGACAGTGACAGGTGAAGCCATTTGATTGGTCGATGCACGTGCCTCCGTGGTGACAAGGGTTGCTGTCGCACTCATTGACGTCGACCTCACATTTTTCCCCTGAGCAGACAGGTAAGGTGGCATTAAATGACTTTTATAGCAATAACGTCAACAGCTCAAAGTGAGGCAGATGGATCACAGCCTGACTTCATTTTCCACGCAGCTACATTCATCTTCATCACCAGCCATAATCACAGAAACACACAGCTGGTCGTCAGGCTGTGCTCACCCAGGTATCCAGGCGGGCAGGAACAGGAAGCATTAAGTCCCGCACTTTCACAGCGGCCTCCGTTCAGGCAGCGCATCTTCAGACATGGGTCCTTGTAGATTTCACAGTGTCTGCCTGCATGCACACATACAAAAAGAGCTTTCAATAATTCACCGGGCAGCACTTTTAGCACTCTAAAACATATTCGGATACACTCACACACACATACCTTCAAACTGGGGTGTGCAGACACACTCATAGGCATTGATGAGATCCCTACAGGTGGCGTAGTTTTGGCAAGGGGCAGACAGACACTCATTGTACTCCTCCTCACAGTACAAGCCATGGTAGCCTTAACAGGACACAGATTCATACAGTTCAGAATAAAATCACAGTCTTTATGAATGATTATGTAATAACAAAGGGTTTGTGTTTATGTGAGACACAGAGACAGAAAGTGTGTATCCTTCTGCAGTGAAACACAGTAATGGTAAAACATGATCATTATTGCAGGAGGTGGAAGCAGGAGTCTCGATGAAGATCATTATAACCAGAGCTGGCTGTAATGTAACACATCACTATACTAGTCAAGTAATTACATTATAGCTACTACATTACTACAGTTACATCGAAAAGGTTCTTCAAATATCTACAAATTGATTTTCCTGATTTTCTTTGCATCACTGTGAACATGCATGAAAATATTTTTTATTTAGTTTTCAGGCTCTAATATCTTTAAGACCATACATGTACATTTGAGTAGCTTCATGCTGTTCTTTTTAAAGGCCTTCAAATATGGTATGGTGGGTCACACTACAAAATTTTCCAAGCTCTCAAAGTTTTATTTTGAACTTGAGCAACACTTTAGAAATTCCATAGTAGCAGATGTTTGGATTAGAAATATTGAATGACATCTTAAGTAGATCTCTAGATACGGCAATTTCAATTCCACAGGAAACTGATCGCAAAAGGCTCGAATCCCCCACACTTCACAAAAATATGGAAATGAATAGTAGTAGAAAGCTCAAATTAGACCACTTTTTCACTCTCCTGGAATTTCTTCCATCATAGATGTTTCGTGTGCCTAAAAATTAAAAAAAAAATATTGGCTGACGTATTGGATTTTAAAATCACTGAATATTGGTATCCTTATTGGCCTTATAAATCCCACATCAGTCGGGCTCTATTGTAACAAATTAATTTCTTCAGGGAGTAATTATGTCAAGTGATGCATTACATTTCATTATAGTAGCACGTAATGTGTAACACGTGATTTTCTTTCAGTAACGACCCCAGCACGAGTTAAAGCTGAGCAGAGGGTCCTTGTAATAGCGCCTCAAAAACAGTTCACACAGCGACAGCCTATCAAACAACCCGTAACATTCATCTTGTGGCACTATGAAGCAATTTCCTCACGCGCCCTTCCTCGGTCACTGTTCTTGCTCTCAGTGCTCTGAGCAGATTAAAAATATTTCAACCTTTTAAGTCGCACTTGACACCAGCATTGAGACCTACTGCCATCAATGCTAGAAGCTCAACATTTTACGTGTTTACCTGACTGAATCGCACACTACAGCGTACACAATAACAACTGGACCACCGTATGTGCCTCTGTATTTCTTTACAGGGATTTATAAATTAGCCAACAGGGGTATGAGCGCATATTAAATCAATGTCAAATGACATGCAGTGCACCGTGTTTTCCATAGGATGGCAGCTGTGTACTGAGACCAGCATTAACATGGTCAGCGCATCAGAGCATCAGTGCCTCTTCAGCTGTGTGTTTTGCGCTTTTCATATAGGACGTGCGTAACTTGCACTTCGATTTTGTGGCTACAACAGATGCAGATCGAGTGTTTTCATTATCTCGTCTCCAACTTTGACTGCATCTCTCGGCTGGGTGCAAGTACTGACTGAAGCATCAACAAGCCCTCCTCGGGCTACAGCTAACGTGTGTTTGGGGAAAAGAGAGGAGAGCAATTAATGAGGAGCCCAGTTAGAACCTCCAGGGCCCTCTCTGTGAAATGTCAGTGAAATGTCAAGTGCCTTTCCAAGACTCTGCCTGCTTTCTGTGGGCTGGCAGCCTCTCATGTGAGCAGGATTACAGGAAACAGGAGGACAGATCCTTCAACATATCAGCTCCCCAGAAGCTTTCTTTCAAACAGCCAGCAGGCATTTACACAACCCCACACATCTGCACACCGACACCATGGAGACGGTCACACTGCTGCATTTGTGGACTCACACACACAGACACACACACTGAAATTAAAACTTTAATGCAGACACATAAACATGCCGCAAGCAACTGACATTCTGATGAGGGGGAGAAAAGATCGTTTTGGTCCAAAACACTGCAATGTGTGTGTATCTGTGTGTGTGCGCGCACATGTGTGTGTGTGTTTGTGTGTGAGTGTGATGCTTGGGATGCTAATTACAAATTACCAATTTCACCAGTCCCATTACAGAGGGAGCAGAGGCATTTGATTGGATGGCAGCATCTGTTCAGCTACAAAACACAAACACAGACGACAGACTGGGAGCCACACACACACACACGCACACACACACACACACACAGCTTCTCCATGGCAACCAGACAACAGAGGATAAGAGGGAAATGAGGTGCGGTAAATGTTACAGGATGATGATGAGAAAGGACAAAAGGACAAGCAGAAGAAAAGAACACGTGAAAGTAACGCAACGTTATGAAAAATAGAAAAATATGCAGGTGGTGTCGCAATAATTGAAAAGAAGTGGGCGCCCGCTCTGCCTCAGAGCACAGTAAGAGCCGTTTGAATAAAAAGGAAGAACATGAAATAAGAAGGCATTATTACAAATCCAAGTCTTGCTGCTCAACATTGATACTGCTTCGTTTCAGGAATTTAAAAAAAGACACCAAAATGTACATTTGAAAACTCTTTGTACTGAAATGTCAGGCGCTTTCACAAAAAATGACATTAACATAAGAAAACAAACATAATCTTAGCCCCTAATGCCTAATGTATCATATTTGATGCACGCATACAGTTTCTGTGAGTTTTCCAGACTTCTACATTATCAGTGTGATTTATATGTATTTATTAAAATAAATAAATTCCACAATACATTTTTAAGCAATAAATATGCTGCAAAAATGAATGTGGCAAATATAATAGGAATTAAAAGTCATATATTCAAATTCATATTAAATTAATGAAAAGTTTCATTGTCACAAAATACAATTTTCTGGCGATTATTTCAAGGTTTAGACTTTAAAGGGTCAGAGTGGACCATTTGCTCTTCTTTATTTTGTGGCAGACATATTTTGTTACAACAATGGATTCTAATATTAAAAGGGCTAAAATCTCAAATATTGAGGTCAGCGTGTGTACAGGTGGAAATCTCCAGACTACTTAAACTCTTGTTTTCAACCGTTTTATCTTGACTCAGTGTGAATCACACAGAGGTGATATAGTTAAAATGGTCCTCTCAGATACAGAAGCCCCACCTACCTGCTGTTTAAACCTTTTATTTGTGAGGGGCAGCCAATCAGAATAAAGTAAACTTAAAGGAAGAAGAGCTAAAACAGCGTGTTTCAGACAGAGCGACGAGCTGCTCCTATCAGTTTAGGTCTGTGAATCACATATACGGAGCAGGAAATCAGCTCCAAATAGATCCACTTTAAGCTCTAATTGCTTTCTGCCATTCTTCCAAAGAGACAGGAACTAGATTAGCCATGTGAAAGGAGCGTGAATGGGAGCATAAAATATGACACTGAGATGGTTACTCCTCTGTACATTTGACTGACAGTGTGTATAAACAGTGAGAAGCAGGGGCAAAGTGTCAAATTATGTTGATGGGCCATTGGGAAAGTCATCATTTTCTCCATCCTAGCAAGGTAATTGCAAGACAATAGATAATGACAAGTCATCATTCCACTCAATTGATTTAATCAGTGAGGCCTCAGCACCAGCAGCGCCGTGCTATCGTCTAAAAAAAACACTCATCGTTGGGGCAGATGACATTTAAACACACCTGAGTCTAAGCCAGGACTACAAGTCACCATCCTTTTACTTATTACAAAGTTTAATGTGCTGGTGGTAAATCCAGATACAGAGCGGAGATTGATCAAAGTAAGGATTCAAGAGGTTTCATGAAGGCTCTTAAAATGTGAATTTCTCAGTGACATCAGTCAAAATCTCATCGGTCCAGGAACTCAGTGGACATGTAGTTTTATTTAAAAATAAAAAGTCCAGCTTCACTCTACTCCCCACTCTACTCTCAGAGGTTTCAGGCTTTTAAGTAAACAGAGTTTCAACTTTTCTACTTGTATGAATCAGCCTATTATATTTCTGGTGCAGTTTAATTCAGCCTTTGTAGCTGATTTGGTTTAATTTTTAATCAGATCATTTAAAAGAATTACCTCCACTCCTCACATAACAAGTAAAACTATCTGAGGATTCATAGATGTCATAAAACTCTTTTAGTTTAAGTAGACCGAGCCCTTTTATGTTAACTATAAGCTTACCTGGCACGCAAAGACACCTGTAGCTGTTTCCCACGCTGCGGCAGACCCCGTGAGCGCAGGGGTTCAGGGCACAGAAGTCCACCAGCTGGGCGCAGGTGGGTCCTGTGAACCCTGCTGTGCAGCTACATCCAAACCCCAGGGGGCCGGGGCCCTGGGCGTAGCATGTCCCGTTATTGTGACAGGGGCTGGAGGCACACGGGTCCACCTTCTGCTCACATGTAGCACCCTGGTAACCTGTGAGAGGGCAGAGAGGGAGCAAATATCCTTAATTTGCTGGAAGGAGAGGCTTAAAGCATACAGCTGCGCTATTACTGGTAAATTGTTAGTTTTGAAGGGAAAGCTTTGGGATTCAGATGAACCTGCTTTCAACAGTGGGTGACACAGCAGGGGCTGTGTTTATGCAAGGCGGGTGGTGCAATCCAATATGTGGCATCTACTTTGGCATAAAATTGCACCCACTCAACTGCCCACTGAAGCAGCTTCTTAATGCAAATGGAACTTTGCAGAAAAATGTTAATGGGATAAAAGAAACTCCTCTACAGTTAAAGGGGATCATAAGTTTTGTTTTTATTTTCTTTGAGTGAACTTTATTGCATTTATAACCACTAACTAAAGGGATGTGCTTCAATTATTCATGCTGCATACGGTGTATTAAATATGATGACAAAGCACCAGCAACCAAAAATATGTACAGAGCAGGACAATAGGATGAAGTCAAATGCTTTCCCTAAAGCAATAAATAAATAAATAAATAAATAAAGACATTTATCATGCAAGAAAACCACAGTAAGTAATGCAGGAGTGCATTAAACAGTCCTGGTTATATTATACTCCTGTAATGTTTTAGACTTAAAAGCATTTTTCTGACGCAGTTATTTCACTTCTTAAATTGTGCATTTGGTACGTATGGTTATATAATTTAAGTGCACGCAGTTTAAGATTACATGCTATTATTTACTGAAAAGAAAAGTTTAGTATGCAAGAAAACACACCGGATTACTTTTTTGTCAAAAGAGGGAGTGAAGCTAAAGTCAGTAAACAGTCAATTTACCTTTAAAACTACACACGGAGGAAACACAAAGCCAGGTCCTGTTTATTTGCGTCACTGAATACATCATAAATTAAGAACACATTAAACATTACATATGTAGAAAAACTAGTTTGAATTATATATGTGCTTTTAATGTTTTCAAGTCTAATTCTTTTGTAACACAACTCTGTCAGTGTAAAACTATGTTTTAAATGTTTCAGTAAAAAAGATCAAACTTTTTTTAATGGCAGTGTGTCGCAGTGGTTGGAGGGATTTACGCTAGCCGTTTTCCAGTGCTAGCTTTCTGCTAAGCTAAGCTAACACTCCTCAAACAGAACAAACAAAGGGCAGTATTTGTATGATATGTGGTAGGTCTAATAGAGAAAATGCTCAGGAGAAAGTTAAACTAATTCAGACTTTATATACTCACTGGCCACTTTGTTTGGTACACTTTGCTAGTACCTGACAAGAGCCCATTGTGCCTTCAGTGTATTTTATATTGACATGACAGCCTCACACACTTGATGCTGATTTTTCGGTTGCATATCCATTATGCTAATCTCCCATTCCACCACACCCCATGGGTTGAGATCTGGTGACTGTAGAGACCATCTAAGTACAGCGAACTCATTGTCATGTTCAAGAAACCAGACTGAGATTATTTGAGCTTTCTGACATGGTGAGCTATCCTGCTGGAAGCAGCCATCAGTAGATGGGTATACTGTCGTTATAAAGGAATGGACATGGTCAGCAACAAAACTCAGGTAGGCTGTGATATTTAAACTGTGGTCAGTTGGAACGAAGGGGTCCAAACTGTGCCAAGAAAGTATCCAGCACACTATTACACCTGAACCTTTGATACAAGGCAGGATCTATGCATTCATGTTGTGTATGTTAAATTCTGACCCTACACTTTGGGGGTTAAAGCAGAAATTAAGACTCATTATCACACCAACATTTTTCCAATGTTCTCAGCATGTGTGAACTGTAGCCTCAGTTTCCTGCTGTTAGCTGTTAGCTGGTGTGGTCTTCTGCTGGTGCAGGTCAACTGCTTCAAAGTTTGACATGATGCACATTCAAAGACACTCTTCTGCATACGCTGGTTGTAGTGATTGGTTCTTTGAGTTAATGTTGCCTTCCTATCAACTTATAGCAGTATGGCCACTCTCCTGGCCTCTGACATTTTCTCTCAGAGAAACGCTGCTAAATAGAGATTTTCTCTTTTATGTCTCTTTTTTTCTCTCATTGTGAATTGTAAATGGTTGCGTGTGAAAATCCCAGTAGATCAGCAGTTTGAACTCCAGCAGGTTGTCTCGACCATGTCTAAATGCCTAAACACATTGAGCTGGTGCAATGTGATTTCATGATTAGGTATTTGCATTAATGACCACCTGAAAATGTGCACCTAATAAAGTGACCAGTGAGTGTAAATTAGAATGCAATAATTTAACTGTATCTACTCAATGTGACTGAAAAAAGAAACAGCACCTGTATGCAATGATCAATACAAAACAGTTTTGATGCTGCAGAATCAGTACTCAACAGTGATGGGAATAACGGCGTTACTAACGGCGTTACTTTTTTCAGTAACGAGTAATCTAACTAATTACTATTTTTATCGTTACAACGCCGTTACCGTTACTAACAAGAAAATGTGGTGCAGTCGCACTACTATTTTTCAACAAACAGACAGTTGCAGCTGTCTTTAGCTTGCTGCACCTTATATCAGTTGCATGGAAGCAGCTGTCTATGTAAGTAATCGAGAGCGCGCTCCCGCGGGCAGCAATCACTTTCTGGCAGACGATCACTTTTTGGCACAACACCTGGAGCTAAGGGGGCAAAACAATCGCACGAGTGCTGCTGTTTGACTGAGGAAGAATAAAGTAGTCGTGGTAAGCCAATCACACGACCACTTCAAGACAAAGCAACAAGATGATATATACCAGTTTTTAAATTGTGTTGATAGGCCTCGTAAAACCAGAGCCATGATAAACAATATATACGCAGCGTTTTTTCCTCAATAGTTTCGCCACGTTTACTGTCTAAGGACAGCACAGCAATCACTCTCTGCTTATGAGCAAAAAATAATAACACAAAACAAAAAACAGCCCGTTTGTGTTTGTGGAAAAATGCACCATGTCGACCAATCAAAAAATGATGTGGCGACATGACATTTGGTTGTTTAGGAAGAGGGGAAAGTTTTAGGAGTGATGGCGAGAGAGAGACAGAAAGAAAGAAAGACAGCAGAAAAAAAGAGAGCAAGTTTTGAGAAATTTGTGACGTTTAGCATGTTTGGAGTGTGTAGTTCATGTGTTGTCTTGTGTAGTTAGTGTGTAGTGTTGTGGATAGTTTTGTGTTGTGTGTCAGAACAATGAGGCGACTGCTGTCTCCAGGTAGAAACAGGAGTGATACACCTGCTGCTGTCAGACCTGCAGGTATCAGGCTGTGATGTTCTCCTTTATAGTGGACAGAAATTTTTGAAGTGGCACAAATAATTTGTGTGGCATCTTATTGAAGGCAGAACAGCTGATTGTTCTGTAAATAGTTTGAATGGTTATTTAAAAAAAGGGTCAAAGATAAATGGATGCAAATAACTTTGTTGTTTGCAAAACTTGTGGATATGATTTTAAAATTGACAATTTATATTTGCATTTAAAGTTATGAAATATGATTCACTAAACATGTTTGTGGTTGTTACAGTAAAAAATATAACTTTTTCAACTTTTATGTTTTTTGTCTGAATTTAGATCAATTGTGTTAATACAGTGTGTCAAAATGAAAACATGACTGTAAACTAAAGGATGATACGAAACAAGGCAAAGTAAATAGTTTTTAAAGGTGAAATGTAGAGGAAAGTAGTTAAAAAACTTTTTTTTAAAGTAACGCAATAGTTACTTTTCAAGTAATTAATTACTTTTAGAATCTTGTAACTCAGTTACTAACTCAGTTACTTTTTTAAAGAAGTAACTAGTAAATATAATTAATTACTTTTTCAAAGTAACTTCTCCAACAGTGGTCCTCAAAGAAGCAATTCAGCATATTCAGAAAAATGTTAAATTACACCTTGAATCAGAATCAGAATACTTTATTGATCCCTGGGGGAAATTATTTTTTGTTACAGTGCTCCATTTTAAACCAACATTAAGACAAGACAGACAATACACTAACTAAGAATAGTACAATATATACATATATATACATACATACATACATAAGTCACTCAAAGTGAAGCCTGATTAATGGCTTGTTTTCTATAATATCCTCAGAAAGAAAGAGAGAGCAAATCGTTTGACTCAAAATGTTCTTTTATCAGTCCCTCTTCCTTAGTCAGGTCACCAAAAAAACAGAGTGACAGCACCTTAACGCACACCGAAATATTGTGTTGACAGGGACATCTATAATGCTACACCAGCATCTCTGAAGGGGCTGAGTCTGTTTCCGTCATGCTCCTCCGTGTTTGTATGGGGGCTCTGTCCTGTGCACATCCATGATCTCATTTGCTGATGTGCCTCACGTGTTTCTTCTTCGCCTCCTCTCATTATCTTGTGAGCCTCTGCCTCTTTCACCTATCTTCCGATTCTAAAAATAACCTCCTCCCGTCACCCCTTCTCCTCCTCCTCCTCATCCTCCTCCTCCTCCTCCTCCTCCTCCGTGTTCACCTCCCATGAGAACCACCATTGTGCTGCAGAGAGCAGAAAGACACAGTCTCTACGCACATACCTTTTCTTTGTATGTCTTGGTCCTCTGATTCACAGCATAGTAACTCCCTGTGCTGACTGCACCAGAGTGCACACTCAATTGAACTAATGAAGAGATCTCTCTGAAGCATCCATTGATCTGCAAGACTTTATTTCACCGTGTGAGCAGGACATTTATCATTCAGCAGAGAGGACAGGAGCAATCAGGAGCAGGCAGGGAAAATATCACCACAGCTCTTCTTCCCTTTGCTGCCTCCTTCTCTTTCTGCTTCATCCCTTCCTTTCTTTGGTCCTCTGACTTCTTCCAAGCCCCCTCATCTCATCTTCCTTTCCCCGTTTCTCTCATAGAGTTCCAAAAGCGCCGCTGATACCGAACACACACATAAATTTAATTTCCTGATTTGCATTTGTTCCGCTGTGGTTTAATCCCCCCGCTTTCCTTCGTATTTAACATATTAGCTCCATTTAAGAACTTGAGCTTCATTTCTCTCTTTGTCTGGTTCAGCTTTTATTTTTTCGGTAACACGTACATTTATCTAAAGAGGCACAACTACACTGTGACATAGGTCCCAGCTGACAGAGAGGAGTCTGTTCGTTCCTGCTGCCAGCATTCAAACTGCCAGGAGTTAACAGTATAAATTTAGCTAGCCTGCTCACTCCTCCACCCTTCTACTTTTGGCTGGAGGCAGCCACAGTGCTGGCGTTCACACTTCACACTTTTCTGTCGGTGTGTGTAAGTGAGAAGAAGTTAATATGACGGTGGTTGTCTCTGTTGAGGATTCAGAGTGCGAAACATGGCCTACTTACACATGAAATTCAGATTAAACATGAGACCTACAGGTTTGACTTTTCCAGCACTTTGGATCAAAGTTAAATTTCCTGCATTCTTCTTCTCAAAGTCTGTCTTAAAACAAGGCTACGTCCAAACAATTAGGTTTTCATTTCAAAACATTTGAAAATTTGCAATTTCTGTCCAGATAATAAATCTCCAACTGATACTAACATGCACAAAAAACAACCCAAGACATTCCCTGTAAATTAGGCATGATTGCTGTCATGATCCACAGTCTACAGGTTGTTAACAATCTGCCAGTCAGGACTGAAGATTTGTTTTTTCTTTAAGGCCATGTGACAGGGAAATGATGAAGCAGGTAGGTAAGGACACTTAGTAAGACTGGGCTGCAAACCTGGACACCTGGTTCATTGTTTATTAAACTCTCTGCTTCTGACCACACAAATTGATAAATTTTTTGGAAGTCACTGTTTTCAGGAGAAATTCTGGTTCAGCTTCTTCCTCTTAGAAGGGAGTTTTTCTTTCACACTGTTGTCAAATGCTTGTCAATTGTTGTTTTTTTCTGTATTAATCTTTACCTACAATATAAGGTACCTAGAGGCCAGGGGCAGATCTGAGGGTGGCATGGATATCAAAGCCATTACTTTACGCATATGCTTTAATCTTAAGAAAACATTCATAAAAGCAGTGGATTATGAATTCCTTTCCTCACTGGTGACCTTGCTCCTTAGGCAGCTGTAGACTGATAATGTGTGTGAGGCCTTCTTTCAGACTGTATATGTATATGTGGTTAAAATACATTAAATACAGCATGTATACACGTTTCATATAAACATAGTCTGTAACTTTCTTATTGACTTTAACCCAAATAATTAGACATTTCAGTTACACGAATAATGTAATATTTTTTGATTTTATGTACTGTCCTAGCCTATATAATAAATAAGTGTGTAGCCCAGTAAGTTTAAAATCCAGAAAGCTACACAACATGTGTTACAACTCGTGTTAGAAACACAAGTCTAACTCTTCTAACACGTCTAACGCTCTTTTTATTACAAATAATTAAAGTGTCACATGCTTAAATTTACACAAAATGTCAGAAACCTGCACTATCATGAAAACATTTTCTCCAAAAATGTAAACATCATTTTTCATGAGTTATTGGGTTATTACACACGCGTTCATTCATTTCCAGACTGTAACAATCAACCACCTGTGTTGATCTGAAATGCCCCTGGTGTTGATTTAAAATGTACTCTGGCACAATCAAGGGTCGATTGCTGCTTAAAACGTGTCAACCTGTGGGCGATGTTTTCATGTATTCGATGTTAATTGTAGCGAGGCTCAAACTCTTAATGCTAGGTTATTTTAATGAACAATGTTGTCATATGCAAAGCTAGAGTGACACTAGGAGTGGCAACAGATTATTTTTAGGTTGGGACATGCCACCCCATGCCATCACAGTAGATCCGCCCCTGCTTGCGGCAAGTATTATTGCAATTTGGCGCTATACTTAAAACTGAAAATTGCAAGTGAACCTCTATGACTTCTACATCAGAGAAAGTGCTGCAGCTGGAACTAAGTACATACTTTGTGTTATTATGAGTCGAAAAGCAGGTATAGATTAGAAAAATGTAGAGATATTTTTGATAACATGATGCTGATTGCAGTAAAAACTGTGGGTTAAAACCAATAAAAACCAGTGGATAGAGATCTCAAACACCAGTTTGGCTGTTTCTTGGCTCAAATTCTCTCTGAAAATTTGTTTTTGTCAAATGCTGCCGGTAGGAAAAACAAACAGGGATGAGAATATCTTGTTTCCCTGTGAGGCGAATCGAGCAAATCAAAATGCAGCTCATGTTGTCGTATTTGCCCTATTGATCCCAAAGCTGATGCATCTCTGATGACAGCTACTGGAGTTGTCATGCCTCCCATCCTTTTACTTATTGCTTGTGTCTGTGCAGACACTGAAAGAAAACTTATATGGGAAGAGATCCTATCTGTGCTCTAAGCAGCATTTAAAAACATGAACACACATCCTCTGCATGTGCCAATTTGGCTGTTTAATTTTGCTTGTACTTCTTTGCCAGTGGAGAAAAATAATAAATACAAAGTGTCTCATTTATCATGGATTGCAGAGCGTTTCTGCTCTACTGGCTCCCAAAAAGAGAGAGAGAGAGAAGAAAAGCTGGAAAGCCAGTGTTATCGGTCCATTAAATGGTTGTTATCAGCTGTTATCACTCCCATTGATATTACCAGTAGGCAAACTTTTCCCCCAGCTACAAGGCGCAGTAGGCTGTTGTCAATTCATTTAACTGTGCGGTGTTACTGCATCGACATAGGTGGAGTGTTTCCAGTTTGAAAGAGCAACTAAAATCTGTGTGAGAATGGTGGAGTTGGCAGAAATCAGATAACTTTCACCAAGGAAATGTAGGTTTGTATGGACTCTTTGCATGTAGTGCCATTCTGACTTGCTCTGTTTTTCATCTTGGTGATGCCTGCTAGAAGGTGCAAGACGGCACCAGCTGGCTGTCATAGGAAGCCAGTAACAGCCATTTGTTGGGTTCATAACAATTTGAAACAGGTGGAATACATGTTTTTTTCCACCTCCATGAGTTGTGAATAAAAGTCTTCGATGATTTCTTACTCAGAGGTTTTACACCTGAGAACGTCAAACTCACTCACACCGTGGTCCACATACAGCCCACTTTGATCTCAAGTAAGCCAGACCAGTGAATCCCCCCGGTCTATCGGTATGAAGAAGTTTAACTGCACACTTAATCCCTAAAATATGTTGGTATTAGAAAATAAAGTGCAATTTCAGCAGTATATTTTCTGCATAACAAAGAAATGCTGTGATAGTAAAAGAATGAAGTCTGTCCCAATGACTCTTTGGGCATAAACTGTAAAAAATAAATGTATAAAATTTTGGAACAAGTTCTGGTAACTCATTGCCCAGAATGTCATTTAACTATAAAACAGATCGTTTTTGGTCATTTACAGAAATTTTTATTTTAAATACCTATAAAACAGGAAGGTAATAATATTGAATAATATGTAATAAATATAGTTAAATATTCAAAACTCATGCCGTCCTTCACTTGTTGCAAAGCTGTCGAGTGGGCTGGATCATAGTCTCTGCTGGGCCGATTTTGGCCCCTGGGCCTTATGTTTGACACCGCTGTTTAACACTGTTATTAAGGATCTCCTTCCTTAAGCCTTGAGGCAACTGTTGTTGTAATTTGTTGCTGTATAAATACATTTGAACTGAATTCTTTCAATTGAAGTCTTCCCTAGTTTTCAAACACACTTAAAAAAAAACAAAAGACATTAAGATAATACAGATAATAAGACATTGTGGGGTCATCTTTGAGCCCTGCAAGCACTTCTCAATTTGACCCCCACCTGCTACCTTATGAAAAGCAGAATATTTGCTCATGCGGTGTGTGAGCAGGTGTTGTAGTTCTGAATGATTACTGAGATATTGAGATACTGAGATACTGATTAATCCCTTGTTAGAAATCATGGCCTGTAATGAAACACCCTTTTCTATGGATTTGTCATTTTGAGTTTGTGTGGGTGGAACATTTTTTTTTCCAGGCTGTTACTGATTTTCTCTGCCATTATTTTTGCATTTGTTCCAACAACCAGGTGCTGTTGCAGTGTGAAATCTATCACCTTTCCTGAACTGAGATTTGTGTGTAAAATATTCAGTTTTTCCTTTGTCGCTACTTTGAATTCGTTTCTAAGGTTACACAACATGTGGCAACAAACTTGTCTACAAGTCAAAATTCAGATGCAGCATGAAGTTTTTTCAAACCTCTCCCTTCACAAAATCTCAGCACAGTGACTGCTTTGGCACAGTTTTTGACTGAGCTTTCACCAATATTGCTTTAATCTTAAAACAACATTCATAAAAGCAGTGGATTATGAATTCCTTTCCTCTCTGGAGACCTTGCTCCTTAGGCAGCTGTAGACTGATAATGTGTGCGAGGCCTCCTCCAGACTGAGAATGAACTGACTGCTGGGATTTATCCCTGGAACAACAAAACAATTTTCACTCAAGGCTCTCTTTATTCACATGTTGATGTCCACGGTCGGCTAATATTTTCACAGTCTGTGTACATACTGGAAACCGCAGTGTTGAGAAATGCTGTTTTGACAACTGCTTTGTGGCCACAGGTTTTAGGTCAATCGGGCTATGAAGACTAATTAAAATAGAGGAGGAGGGCTCAAATTAAGCATGTCAGTGGCACAGATACTCTCACACATGCACACGCGCACACATGCACACGCGCACACACGCAGCGTCTATGATAACAGCTAAAAGCTGCACACACTACTGCGGCAAGCGTATTTCTACAGATTTCTCTTTGCTTTTCCTTCTTTTTCACAAAGGCACACAAACACCATAAGCTGTGAGGTTTCTTGGCAATCTCAAGCACACAGACCACTCATTTCTGGCAGCTTCACTCATTCCTTCTGATTCACTTACGGCACACGATTGGTTCTAGCATGCAATAACGGGCTTCCTACCTTCGGGACAGTAACACCTGGGCCCGGCCAGGCTGCTGAAACAAGTGGCTCCATTCTTGCAGGGCTGGGAGACGCAGTGATCGACCAACAACTGGCAACGCTCTCCTTCATAACCTGAGAGACACGAGGTTTATGATCACACTGCTTTTGCTGGAGTTAACATTCTGTGTATTGTTATCATACAAGGATGTGATATATAACTATTTATACATCTGCAGAAGACTAAAGTGATGAATACATGGAAAAGCTGGAAATGATTTGCTTTCAAAGTTGGATTGTTGGATTGCTAATTAAGTACTGTGTTATTACATTTGTGTTATTACTCTTGACCTTTTAGCTGTTTTATTCCAATACATGAAATCTCTGTTTGCCTGCAAATTGCTCCCACACAATCAGTTCAACAGCCAAAAATGGCACACAGGTACACCTTACACCCCTGAGAGTCTTTATCTACATCAGATATCATGATTATTATGTTACCAGCCTGGCAACCACCTAACAACAGGCTGTAATGCCATCTATAACATTTAATATCCATATGATTTTCACTTTAGGGTAATAACTAAATAATGAATATCCACGTAACTTGAGGGATGCATGATACATTAAGATGTCATCATCTTGCCTAGCAACAACCTACCAGCTGGCTAAATTGACACATTTGTAGCCTTTGTGCACTTACAACACCTTATTAAAAAAGCCGGATATTAATTTTACTGTAATGACACCTAATGTAAACGCAATTTAGGCATGTTATATTATGATGTCATCACATTGTCTAGCAACCACCTAACAACGCCTAACTACAGTATGATCGTAGTAATATTTAATATTATTAAGAGTGGCTACTCAGAGTTGTGCCTAATTTGGTTTCTAATTAAAGAATAATGTCAGCAAGACCACCTGAGCCACCTAGTAAAGACAGTGGTGTTTGCTGTCTGTTTCCGCTTTCTTAATTTTTTTCCAAACAGATGCTCACAGAGGGCTCGTTAGCACAACATGCTAATGAGAAGTGACTGGCAATCAGTAGTCACCTGTGACATTTACCTTCCTACCACAGGGTCTTTTTTTCCAGTTCCCGTCTCAAAATAAATCTGACAAGATCAAAAGTTCAGGCTACTCTCTGCTGCTCTTTTTATTCAGACATTTTCTTAATGAAAGAGGCTCTCACCTCCCAGCCAAGACAACACAGTCAGGGTCCAAAATATGTGAATGGGGAATCTTCTTCAAATACAAAAGCATACTGGGACCACTACTTTTTAAATTTCTACTTTTTATACATTACAAGAAAACATTGCATACATTTCCATTGCTATGCAGATGACAACCAGCTATATTTATCCATCAAGCCAGATATCCTAAAGGTATAAAGGCCTGGATGAAATTTTCTGTTTCTAAATTCAAATAAAACTGAGGTTATTGTACTCGGCTCAAAAGCTCTTAGAAACATGGTGTCTAGCTGATACTTACTTTGGATTGCATTACCTTGGCCTCCAGTAACACTGTGAGGAATGTACATCCTTTAATTAGCATTTTAAAGAAATATGTGGGTGTGCTTTTCTTTTTCCATCTCTGTCTCCCGGTGCTGCTGAAAAGCTACTTCATGCATTTATCACTCATTGGCTGGACAACTGTAATTTATTACAGCCTTCAGTTAATGCAAAATGTTGCAGCGAGAGTCCTGACAGGGTCTAAAAAGAGAGAGTCTTAATTGACTCCCTGCAAAATCCAGAATTGAATTTAAAATCCTTCTCCTCACATACAAGATCTTGAATATTCTGGCCCTATTATATCTTACAGATTTTCATAGTACCATATTGTCCAAATAAAGCACTGCACTCTCAGACTGCAGGCTTACTTGTGTAGAGTTTCTATAAGTAGAATGGGAGACGAGTATTTTGTAGCACCAGTTCCCAGTTTGGATTCGGGAGACAGACACCCTCTCTACTTTCAAAATTATCCCTAAAACTTTCCTGTTTGATAAAGCTTATAGTTAGTGCTGGATCAGGTGACCCTGAACCCTCTTGGTGTGCTGCTATAGGCTCAGACTGATGCAGGACTTGATGTGATGCACTGAGCACTTCTTTCCATTTACCACCTTTATTCACCATTTGAACAGATCATTAATTTTACCTTCTCCCTCCCTTTTGTCCCATCTCTCTATTTTCTCCTTTTTCTCTTTTCAGGGAGTTGTTCCTTACCAACATCCTTACCACGTGTTGCTCATTGTTTGAGCTTTCTTCAGAGTACTGTATCTTGACACTACAATATAAAGCACCTTGAGACAAATGGTGTTGTAATTTGGCACTATATAAATAAACCTGAATTGAGATCTTCAAACAGTCTATCTCAAAAACAGCACTGAAAGTAAAACCACACGATATGGCATAAAAACACTGATAGTGTGATAGGCCACACACAAAAGGGTTAATGCTGTGAGTTTTAACCCAAAACACAATCTTTTCTTAACCTTACAAAGTCAGCTTTGGTGAAAAAAGTGAATGAAAACAAAACAACTCAGTGAGTGAAAATCACAAGCACAAGCATCCGCCTCCAAGCAGCAATATCTGACGCTCTGGAATGAGAACAAGTTCAACACACACACCTGGTTGACAGGTGCACGTGAAGTTGCGTCCTTCACCCCCCTGCCTGATGTCAGTGCAGGTGCCGTTGTTGCGACAAGGTCGGTGGTGGCAGGCGTCATATTCCTCACAAAAAATCCCGGTGTAGCCGTCTTCGCACTCGCAGAAGAAGGTGCTCTGCAAAAAAGCGACAGCACACAGATTTCACGCGTCAAATCAGGGAGCCCTAACGGCGAAACGGCAGGAGGGAGGAAAAACTTGTGAAACAGTAATAATGAGATCGCAGATTGTGAAATAATTCAGCGACACAACAATGTAATTATGAGCAGCGGTGACACAGTTTGGTTTTCTCAGCTAACGAGGGAAAACAGAAGAAACGGCACAAAACCAGACACGGTGAGATGACCTCTCCAACACCTCCCTCTCTACACTTTCATTCACGCTTAAGAGGCACAACCAACCGCTACATCTTTTTTTGGTTCGGTACGTGAATGTTGGGGCTCAGTGGATCCATTTTTAACTATGAGCAACGGATAATTAAAACAGGCCAGCATAAATCAAAAATAGCACCGCAGTGTTTGTTCTTCCAGAGCGCAATAATGCATCTCTGATGATGATGATAATGGGAATTCAGCTTTTTTGGAAGTTGCATGTTTTAGATGTTAGAAAGCAATAAAGAGATTGCTAAAACTAAAGCAATGAGCGTGCCCATTCAGCGGTGCTACCTTTATTTATTTCACAAATTTATGCTAGTTTGTCCCATAAAACGTGAACCTATTGGAGGGCTGTGCATAAAAAAGGCTTTAATTTGTAAAACCCTTTGAATTAAAGCAAGGATTCTTCATTTTAGTCACATACTGACTGCTGAAAGTAGCTTCTTGTATCAGCGAGCACTGAAACGTGTTCTCGGGTGAAGAAAAGAAACGTTCTCACCTCAGAGGGTTGGGTGATGCATTTGCCTTTTCCGGAGCACTGAGGGTCACTGAAGCTGCTGCCGGGCTCCACACAGCTGCTGGCCTTCACCGTCAGGTTGAGACGGAGCGTGACCTCCGGGGCCGTGGGAGCGCCAACGCGAATCACACCTGCCACAAGAGAGTGTGTAATCTGCTCATTTATACAACAAGTACAGTAATATGTGATGGATAATTTGGATGGATAATTGGACTCGTGGTGGAGTTTTTAACCATACAGCAGTCTGAAGATGTACTTTCTTTTTCTATTTTCAGACACGGCTCTTCATTTATAAATATGGCAACACCTTTTGGAGAGTTTTTAAAAGGATTCCTGGTCCCCAGAGGATGAATTGTTGGCAAGCCCTTCTCTTTTCTCGCCTAGCGCTCAGCTGTATTTTTAGCCTTTTAGCATGTTGAGTGAATCATCAAACATCGGCCTGCAGCAGCCGCACACAGCTTTCATTTAACAATGCTTTAGGAAAAGTACACACCGCTGCCCCAAAACTGCATAAAACTTAAGTGGTAATAAAAGAATTGATGGATTCAGTTCATTACAGTGACCAAAATAGAGACTGTGCCTCTCTGTCTTTGTCTCTCCCCATCTCTGGATCTATAAATGTAGAACATGTCGTATTATAGGTTCAATCAAAGCTGACAGCTTCGCGGGCACTCGGATAAAAATAGCTTCGTAGTGGATATCACCTGCCATTCTTTTGGAGCAACACCGGTGACGACAGCGATGATGCAAGCTCCTCGGCCAATCGGAGCCCTGATAAAACGACGCGTGTTCCTCCGTCATCCCCGACCGAACCATCGTCAGCACAATGACACTGAAAGTCGGACCTGCGCAGTCATTGCGCTTTTAAACTGCGAGGAAAGCACATGGCCACAAACATGGCATTTCCGTCCCATGTGTAGATGGGTGCCTGTGTCTTTCCTCCTGTCCCCTGATCGTGCAGGGAAACATGCGGCACGCTTAAAATCATGCGTAGATGTGAGTTTGGTTTTGTTGCAAGCATTTTTATTCAATAAATGCGATACCGCCTGCGTCTTCATCCTTCTCCCGCAAATTGTCCTTCATTCACGCCTCTTTCACGCCCCTTTATCCTTTCCTCTAATCCCTTTCTTTGTTGTCTCCTTTCCTCCCTTGCTCCCTCCTTATCTAACTCTTCTTTCTCCTTCTTCCATCCTTCCTCATCCTCTCTTCTCTCTGATTTAACTCCCCAGTGTCATTGCCGCCGCCACTGTGTCCTTCTCTTTCTCCCTCCCTCCGTCTCTCTCCAGTGAAGCTGCCACCGAGTTACCAGACGTGTCAAGGTCAGCAGCCGGGAAGAGTAGCGAAACAGCATCAGGTATGTAGAGCACACGCAGGGGTCAGCCAGCCCTTCAGTCAAAGGAGCGAGGCTCCAATTAACCCCCAGCGGCACCCACTGCAGCTCACGCCATCGTTTTTTGGCACCACTCTGTGAATACTCAAAAACTGCCCGTGTGAAGCTCGGTATTAAAACACAGATGGAATATCAGCATAAATGTCTGTTCGGTATGCAAATAAAACATTCTGACTCACATATGCAAATGTTATGTTATTTCCCCCCGATGACACTGAAGAATAAACGTCGCAATTACAACTTATTTAAATTCATTAATCCTCTGATGTTTTTGGCTCGGCTGTAAATGATCTATTTGGAGCTTCTTGACAATGTTTCAAATTCAGCTTTTCTGTGGTTGTTGGATGAACTGCCATACACATTAAATAATTTAAAAAACACACGATTCTCTGTAAATATGTATCTAGTTTTAATAAAGTTATGGCTGGTTTGGAGTCATCGAGGGACTATCTATTTATATTTCCCACAATTTTTTTATAGATCATCCTCAAACTTCACAACAATACACCAAGCCTTGGGGGACACGAGTACCTAGGTGGGCTAAACATTTGACCTTGGCCTTCATTCTGAGGCAGCAAGGTCAAAGTCGACCTTGAAAACAAAATTCCAGAAACCATATCAAGTAATGTATCATATGACAGGGCACGGAGACCGCTGTACAACACACTCGAATCTTAAAATCTTTACAGCCTATAGAAGCTAAAGGTTTCAACTAATTCTGCTGCAATCATGTCGGCAAAGTTAATAAAATAGGCACTTTTAGTATGTAGTGCTTCGAGGTTAAGGGTCAAGGGTCAGAGTCACACGAATTAGGGAAAAATCTTAGTTTCTATTGGATCATCTCCAAACTTTGAACCAATATATTAGTCACTAGGGGGGCATTGAGCTCTTTAACTTTATATTTTGACATTAATTAATTCGCTACACTAGATTTTTATATTACCAATGCTGACATCACAGATTTGATATAGGCCCTGTCCTTCAGGAGGAGTTGAGCTCTTGTTTGTTATGTTTCTGTCATGGTTAATCCGCCAATAAGCACAAGCTCGTTAATCTATAATATCTATAATCATTGTGGTTAGAAATGTTCAAATTAAATGTTTTTACCAAAAAAAGCAGAAAAATAGTACAAGTGCGATATTATTTTTGATTAAGATGCCAAACTGCATCCGTTTACTTGCTTTCCTGAACATTTGTTTTTAGTGGTCGAGTGTTGCGCCTAATTCATTTGCAGTGTTTCTGCTCAAATTTGGATATGAAAACATGAATTCAGTTTAATATTTGCTTAAAAAATAACAACATCATTTTCAATTTTAAAAAAGTGTTTTCTTGATTTTATGGCAGCTGGTCGAATAAATTTGTTAAGCACCGTATGCCTATATTTTCTATGCAATCTGAGCCAAACATACTCAAACCGGATTTACCAGGTTTTTTAAAGAAATTATTCATAACAAACTAAATCCTCTGTTCTTCTCAAGGCTGTTTAATTTTGATGCCTTTAAGTAAAGACAAATCCAGATTCTTGGCTTCTGTGTCCAGAAATACAGCTCAGGGCTGGTTGCCTCAAAGAGCTAAATGCTAACATGCTGATGTTTGGCACATGTCCACTATTGTAGTTTCCTGTGTTTGCATGCTAATATTTCCCAAAAGGCATTATTAAAAAGTACCAGGACACCAGAGGCTTACTCAGGAAGTAGTTCTGTCCCAGGGGAAGCAAGTGGTCTGGCACCACCAGTCCATCCGGGGTCTGCAGGAACCACATGGTGGTGCCGTTCAAAATGGACGAACGGAGGAAACCCTCTTCGTTCACTCGCCACAGCACGGGAGCTCCACTGGCATTCACCACGACCCTGTTTGGAGCAGAGACAGGAAGGGAATCAAGTATGATGAGGCTGCTTTCCCAGCTCGTGACGAACGCTTACAGCCTTCAGTGTGTAAATCATAGGTTGCACAAGAAAATTCAAGACTCAGTGCTCAAACACAATCCACGTAGTGCACGCTTTTGCTACTGTATACCTAGCGAGGGCCTAATCCATCTTGCCAGCCATGAACCTTTTTAAAATGTCAGCATGTCAGCTTGAAATATTAGACACATGAATGAATCTTCTATGTGAAGCTGCCTGCTTCTGCTAATGGTTATTTTATTCAAAAGAAGAAGTTTGGTGAAATATCATCCCGTGTGCACACGTCGTGGTCGACAGCAGCTCAACAGTCAGTCAGTTTTTGTACCGAAGGACATTTTGTGTGGCGTACCCGATGATTAAAGTACTGTCCTCCTGTTGGTGAGTCCAAGCTGGGATCATAGTCAGGTCTGTGAGTAATGACTGCCAGAGAGGTTGATGCTTCTTGTGGAAACACTGTGAATCTTGTGAATAGAGTTGTGAAATACAGCCAGTGTTGCTGGCATCCATCATTCACACTGAGCCATTAAATAGACCCCCGGGGACACGGAGGTCTCTGCAGACCACATAATTCAAACATAAGTTACATAAAAATACCAGTGACACCAAAATGATCTCTTTTGTCTCTTATTTAGGCAAACCTATTATTGAGCAATTCCAAATTAATGTCTATGCAGAGGCCAAGATCAGCAACCCAAATGATATCGATGAGACAAAGTATTATTTACAGAGCTCACTCCATCTCTCACTGCTACCAAAGCCACAGCCAACACGGACCATGAGGGTAAATCCCGTATCTGGAGGCCTACTGTTCTGGGGATCGTGCTGCCAGCAGGATGATCTAATCCCTCTGGGCAGAGCGAGAAGAACAATGCGCGCCATGTTTCATGCCAGAGACGCCGAGCTCCACCAGCTGCTTGCTGAAGAGACAGTAAAGAGCAGAGCCAAGCCGAGTTGAGCCGAGCTGGATCACCACGCAGAGCAGAGTGAAATCTGTCACTGGGGGTTGTGAGAGGCAGCAGCTTCAATGAGCCTCCTCTTGTTTAAATGCAATTGAGAAGCCCTCTAACCCCACTCCCACACCTAATCCATCCAATATTAACAAAAACAAAAATCAATCTGATTACGCTCTCAGCTCCCGCCGTCACGTATCTGTTCTAATGAACGCTTGTTACTTATAAGAGCAGTAATTGTTATTATTACCTCTGTGTGCTTTTCATACACTCAGCCACAGATGAAACAGATTTACAGAGAAATTAGGATAAAAAAAATGACAGATACGGTATGTGCCTGGCGTGACAAATGAGCACACAGGAGTGTTTGTAACAAGCTGTTTGATTCATTACTAAAACATAAAAAATCAGAGTCAACTTTGCTGGCATGAAAAAATATAAAATGGTAATAAATTATTCAGAATTAAAGACTGATATTTGTAGTGCTGTGTAAACATACTGAGCCAGCCCGTCATGGGAAATAGGTGCAGGGACTTATTATAACAAGTGTAAGTGTTCTTGGCAATACAGTATATGAGGCATAAACAGAGTTTATACAATATTTAATAACCAGTCTGAACTCTCTTAGTCCAACTTCCTTATAAAGTAGTCTTCAGGAATAGTTCTCCAGGCTTCCTGAAGGACATCCAAAGCTCTTCTTTGGATGTTTCTGCCGTTTGTTCTGTTCTCTCTCAAGATGACCCCACACTGCTTCACTAATGTTGATGTCCGGGCTCTGGGGAGACCAATCCATGACAAGCAGTGTTTCATTCAGTGTTTTTCTATCCAGGTGTGCTTTGGCAGCATGTTTGGGATCATTGTTATGAAGAAAAAGCAAATTGCTGCAAGTGATGCTACTTTTCTGTGTTTATTCTGTATTTCCATCGTTTTGACAAGATCCACAACACCACAGGCTGAAACGCAGCCCCAAACCATGACAGATGGTTGCAGACACTCACTGCTGTACCTGTCTCCTCATCTCCTCCATACATCCTTATGATTGCTCATTTGGATTCGTCGCTCCATCAGACTTCTTGTCACTGATTTTCAGTCCAATTCTTGTGTAATTTGGCATGCGTCAGTCTTTTCTCCCTGTTTCCCTTCCTTAAGAATAACTTCTTGACAGCCAATATTCCACTGAGACCATTTCTGATGAGGCTTCAGTGAACAGTAGATGATCAACTGAAGGCTCAGATGCATCTCTCGGGTCTTGTTGGTCGCTTTGCTGGATTTTTTCCTGTCTTAAGGACATGACTTTCAGATTCTGTTCATCTGCTGTAGATACCTTTTCTTTTGTCTTCCACTCTCCAGTTTCCTCAGATTTCTTAAGGATAGACGCCATACTATGCCAGGTATCCAACTAACAACTCTCACCTTACCGGTGCAAATATTTTATCTTATGCCTGTCAAACTGTGCTGTATTTGGCATTTTTTGCTGCGTGTTTTGTGACAGGCTGCTAGTAACAAAGCACTTAAAGATACAATTAAAAACTGGTTCTTTGTAGACACAAGATATACCTCGAATTAGGTGCCTTTTGGGGCTTGAATGATTCATGAGTTTTAAGTGGCTTAACACTCCTCTGAAAATGGTCAGGTACATAAAGTGGACTGAAATCTAGTAAAAAGCAGCCAATTCTACACCAGCAATAAGACAAATGCTGCCAAAGCATACAAAACAAAACGGAAATAGAAAAAACGAAAACAGAAATAGGTCAACAAAAAAAAGGGAAGTGTTTCTGGGGAGACAATAACTCGAGGGACCAGTTGCAGGAACCCAAAACATGGTAGGCGTGTTTTATCATGACTCACATAATACTGATGACAGATTTTTAGGCTAACAGTCAGGCTAACACACTTACATCTCATCTTTTCTTTCCTCACAAAAACAATAGATCCTCCACTTCTTTTAAGTGTCTCCCAGCAAAATCCTTAGCATATTTTGGTTCCTGCAACTGGTCCATCGGGTTATTGTCTCCCCAGAAACACTTCCCTTGTGCTTTTTGAGATCTGTTTTTTCCTATTTCTGTTTTCTTTTTTCCTGTTTCCGTTGTGTTTTGTGTGCTTTCTTATTGCTGGTGTTTTCTTAAGTTGCTGTCTGTTTGGCCTCTCAGGGCCACCGTACAATGCCCAAAAAAAGACCTTCAGAAAACCTGGAAAACTATTTTTAAACATCACTAAAGACTAAGACTTTTACACAGCACTAAATTTATTATTCAAAAGAGGACAGAACTGCTTAAGTAAGCCAATTTTGCTTTTAAAAAGAAATCTGCCAGGCACACTTTGTGGTCCATAAGGATATATTGTAGGTTTGAGCTGAGGAGCGAGGGCAGGTTGGATGAATCAATACGATGGCTGTCCCACAGCGCTGCGGCAAAGAGGGGGGCTGAGCCTGGAGGTGAAGCTACGAGCAGTGACTGCAGTAATAAGATGGTGGACGGGCTGCTTGTAGCTGAAATGAGTTTTCCTTCGCTTCAGCCTGAGGCGCAACATGAGGAGCCGAGATATCCGGGGGTTTTTAAATGAAAATGTGCCCGGTGATATCTGACAGCTAGTCCTGCATTTGAATGCTCTACACTCATGCGTGTCGGGAGTGTGTAAGGCTTTGTTCGACTTCATGTTGGCATTTGTCTCATTTTTCGTGGCCAGTGAATAATTGTGACCTAGAGTGATTATTATTAATTCAAAGCGCTTGCATTAAAACAGTTCATAGTCTTGCGAGTGATACTCAGGTTCAGCGTATGCACGTCTGTTTAGAGACATGACAGCTACTCTCTCCGGCCTCTCTGGGATCTGAAGCTTCATCATCATACTATCAGCATCTCTAAATCGATGCCACTTTGGGATTGCTGCTTCATTCCTAAGTGCGGTGCGTCAGGTTTGTAAGAGTGCCCTTCACTGCCTGCATCTGGGCGTGCGTTCAGATGTCATGTGCAATTATACAGTATGAAAACAAAGCAGCAGCAGTTGATTAACTCGCAGCTCTCGGTCTGCGGTCGTGATGAGGGGCCCGAGTCGTGCCTGCAATATGTAAGGAGGTTCTACATAAAGGACGCCCAGCATTCACCTTGACCATTCCTTCAGCATAATTCACTGACCCTTATTTACTGAGCAAGAGGAAGAAAGTTTGCGAGCAAACAAGCTCCGAAAATACAGAACGCACTTTCAGTCACGTAACGCCAAAGTCTTACGTGCAAGAGCCGAGTCACGAGGGGATTCAAGTGGGAGGCAATTAGCTTAAAAATCTTTGAGCTGTGTTCGGTTTCCAAGGAAAGTTTCTGCATGCAAGTATGCAGATGAAAGGCTGCACAAAGTAGAATCTATTTTAATGTATCTTGATGATAATTATGTGCCCGATATACCGGACAGCGTGCTTCGTTGTCCCTCTTACTGATTAGGAGCCAAAGAGCTGAGCTAATTTTGCTGAGATGGTTTTTTAAGCTCGATTCTGGTGTTTGTGTGCTCACATAACACAGAGGTGAAAAGCTATCGCTGGCCACTTGTAGGTGAAAGTTTTCCCCACAACACCCTCTCCTGAGGGCATTTCCACATCACTGAGCTAATGCCACAAGTTCATGTCATGTTGTTCACGCGGTAATTACAAAAAGCTGAGATGGGAAATTTTCCCGGTTGTAAATGAAAGAGTTGTAAGTATCAGAAAAAAAATAAAAATTACTGCTGCTACAACTAGACTGCTAAGCAAGCACTCTGAATTATGAGGGCAGGAAAATAGCTGATTTAGGATACATATGGTGTGAATACAGCTCAAACCCCTTTATCAGGAGTTTTTTTTCCCATTATAGCACCACTACAAAAATACTTTGATCACCTGTCCAGGGTCTACACGGCCTGTGATAGCTGGGATATGCTGAAGCCCTCCCCCACGATGGATCGAAGAAGACTAATCATTCCAAAGCACTGCACACAAACAGGTGTTTCCATCAGAGCGTGCCTGAGACATTTGTCAATATTATTGGCTGACAGTGGCCTATCACAGATAGAGCACTGATATGAAACAGACTTTTTTCACAGCATAAAAAGCAAAAGACTATCCTTAGGGAACTCTGAAATTATGTCATCACATGGTTTGTTGAGCAGAGCATCTCCAGCTCCAGTGTTCGCAACACTCTCGTACTCTCATGTGTGTATTACATGCAGTGTAGTGCATGCCACAGCTGAGCAGACAGAAGCAGTGTCTTCACAATTAGTTGAAAACTAGTTTATTTAAAATCGGCGCTATTTCATCTGTGTAGGTTCTCAGTTGTCCACGTTATGGGAGTCTAAGGAGCTTGGAAAGAAAGCACTGGACTTCTTTAAGTTTCAGGAAGATGTTTCTCATCTTATCCGAGAAGTTTTGTCACCTCTAAAACTGAAAGATGGAGAGTCCCAGGTATTTAAACCATAGTGGTAATCCCTTAACAGGGTTTTGACCCACTTATACCCACTCATCACATGAACCAAGGTATGAAAAAAAGGCAGAAGGTTCAATAAACACTCCATTTTCAAAAAAATCTGAATTTTCTGGCAATTATTTTACAGCTCAGACTTTAAAGGGCTAACCTCAAAGCCCTTTAAAGTCTGGTTTACCAAAAGAAAGAAAGAAATCGTAGTCCCTGTGTTAATATTAGTCTGGAGTAATTTAGCAGCAACAACACATGATTAAAACACAATGCTGGTGTCAAACTGTCTTTTTGTTATCGATGTTATTTCAGTTGGATGAATGTGTGCGTTTATTGAATTTACAGAAGCTCTCATGTACACAAACATGTTCCGGGTTCGTATTCCCAAGCAAGTTTATTTGGTCTCTGAATCTCTATTGGGAAAATTTAATTAAGCTGTCATTCTGTCTGCTGAGCAAACGGCATCTCTCGAGTAGTTAAAAGAAACCAGACAGATACAGCGGAAACAGAGCGAGATGAATAAACAAGGCCCCACAGGTAGAGCTCGCCCTGCGGGCTGTGGTTCTGGTTAATCAGAGCTTGCTCTAAGGGGACGGCAGTGAGTTATAAAAGGTACTTGATGGTACTCTTACTTTACAGCCGTCTCTTCAGGCACCTCCAGAGACAGAGTCAGAGTTCCTGATGTCAGCTCACAAAGCTCCGGACTCACACAGTGCAGACCCTCGGTCACCTGAAACACACACGCATCGCCACACAGCATGAAATCTTTGTACTTTTTTTAAATTTAAGCTCTACAGCAGCTTAAATTTATCTCACCCTGTCTGCCTCCCACGGCACTACCAGCAACCTCTGCCCAGGTTTGGGTTGCCATGGCTGCAGGGTGGGAGGAGGCGGCGTTGTGGTGGTGGGAACGGTGGTCGGTTGCGGCGGCTGAGTGGCGGCTGTGGTCGTGGAGGCGACCGGAGTGGCCAGCTCAGGAGCGGAGGGGGTGGCGGGGTCCCAGTCTGCGGCCGGCAGGTCCAGCAGGACCTGATCGCACCTCTCCCCCTCGTAGCCTTCGGCGCACTCGCAGGTGTAGGCCTGCTCCCCCTCCTCGCTGCCGTTGCGCTGGCTGCAGTTTCCATGGAGACAGGGGCTGCTGGCACAGGGGTCTGTGAAAAACTGAGATAATGGAGAAAATAAATAACCGGCAAAACATCAAGTGGAAGAAACAGAACGAAAAACACTCAGATGCTTCTCACTGCTGTCCTCACTGCCCGAGCACCTTTCGTTTTTTTCGTTTTTTGCCTCCACATCATTTTTTACATCCAAATCACAAAATGTCAACAGAGTAGTCAGCTTCTGTTTTAATGGGCTCTCGGAGCGGGCCCTTGAACGATGTGGAGGACAAGACATTTTATAAGTAGTCCAAGCTCGCACTCATCATTTCCTTTTCCCTCGGTGCTCAGCGTCTTCTTTTATTGCTCTCTGACTCAGCTTCCCTGTTTATATCCTCATCTCTGCTTTTACCTTTTATTAAATTTTGGACTCTTTGTTTCCAGTAAATTGTCGAGGGACGGCATTTCTTCCATCCCTTCTTATGCATATATAATTTTATTCTTCCACTCTCACAGCATGGACCCACTTACACTTTGTCCCAAAATGCGGTTTCCCCCTCATCGTGCAGCAAAGAGAAATATGCACCCTGACAGCCTCCTTCATGCTGGTTTCCCCCATCAATAATTGATCATATTTGGAGAAAACACTGAGGCGTGGATGTTGAAGGTGAAAAGGGACAAAGCCGCGTTTATGAAGCTCGCTGTCTCACGCTGTGTTTGGCTTTCAGAGCCTTCTCTAATCCCGCTGCCTCTTTTTCTTTTTTAAAGCAATTTCCCTGCAACATCCTCAGGTATCTGTGACTCCAGCTGTCTAATATGAATGAATGTAGATGCAGTTTTATTAAAGGCAGCTGAAAACAGAAAATCAGGGTGAACAGAGGCAGGGGAATGATGCTCACACCAAAAAAAAAAACCCAAAAACCCTCAGTGCATAAAGATGTGAGCATTAAGTATGTGCGAGAAGCAGCAGAACAACAAGGCATCATTAACAGTCCACTCTCTCCGCAAGCAAGTCACAGCTCATTAGTGCTAATCTCTCTCAGGTTTTTACAAGCAATGCTTCTATCAAACTTTCCCTGCTCCGAAGCTCAGAGAGTCCCAGCAGTCCCAGCGAGCTGCTCAGCAGTGGTTGCACAGTCTGCTGCTCTTATCTGCACTCAGACGGCACCGGGGATTGAGTTTATCAACCTTTAGAGAACAGCAATGCTGCCTTATTGCAGGAAGCATTAGAGTCCGGCTCATGACCTTTTTCGTGTGTCACTCCTGATTTTTTCCCCCCTCCATCCTAAATGTCTCCATCCAGGCTGCACGAAATGTGCTCAAGCACAGCACAACAGGACTAGACCCAATGAGGTAAAACCTGCATGACAAAAAGAATCCTTGTCGCTTATTGTGAAGACTTTCCAAGGCTGAAAGTAGAGATGATACAATCCTGCGCTGCCTCGTCTTCTAGTATTCTAGTAGCATGAAGCACCTCAAGCTAAAGCCTCAGTATAGAGATAGTTATAGCAATGCTTCTCTGACAGGGTTGATCAAAGTGAACATTATTATCTTTATAAAGTTAAGTTCGTGTTTGAGCGTTCTTTAAAAAACTGTCAGGTTTAGATGTTTGCTACATTTGTACGACTGCGTTAGCGCCAACAGAATTTATTCAATGTTTTTTTGGTTGATAATAATCTACAGAAATATTGCAGTGAATGCCTCCAGCTCCTCAGCTGTGGAGATTTGGTCATTTTTGTCTGAAAATTTCTGATGCTGAGTAGATCATCTGGAAAACAAAAGTTCCAAATCTGTTCATTCACTTACAAAAAGACAATATACTTGATTGGATGTTCTTCGTTTTTCAAAGAAGAGAAACTAAACACACCTTGGATTCAGTACCTCGTAGTATCAATAACTTGCAGTTATCATTTCCTCTATTACTGTATCCGTCTGTCACACCATTGTGCAGGAATTTTGGCCCATTTTTCTTTACAACATTGCTTCAGTTCATTAAGTTTTTCCACAGCACTTCGATTGAGGTCTGGACTTTGGACCATTACAACACCTTGATTCTTTTGCTATTCTGCCATTTTGTTGTAGATTTGCTGCAGTGCTTGGGATCATTGTCCTATTGCATGACCCAATTTAAGCCAAGCATTAGACCAAGCAGACGGATGGCCTTGCATTTAACTCAAGAATATTTTAGTATACAGCAGAGTTCATAGTAGTCTCAATTGCTGCAAGGATCTCAAAACAAGACCAAATCACTACGCCCCCACCGCCGTGCTGAAAGTTGGTATGATGGTCTTTGGACTTCACCAGATGTGTCCCTGTGCATTATAACCAGACATCTCCAGTTTTATGTCATCCGTCCAAAGGATAGTCTTCCAGAAGTCTTGTGGTTCTTCAAATCCAATTTTGAAAATCTAAGTCTAAACCTTTCCAAATAAGTTATACTGATTAAGTATTTTTATAATTGTACTGTCAGAACAATTGTTGCCTGTAGAGTCTGACATGTAGCTCTTGGTTTTTTTGCAGTCTCTGAGCATTTCACAGTCTGTTGTTAGGGTGAATTTACCCAGATGTCCACTACTGGGACATCTATGGCTTCCACATTGACAAATGATGTTTCTCATGGTAGAATGATGGACTTATAACCCTTCCCAGACTGTTAAAGGGAGGTAATAGTTTGAGCATGTTGCTGATGCTTTTCCTTCTTAGCATTGTGTTTACACACACCTGAACGCTCCAGACCTGCACACCGCCAGAACATCTGCTTTCATGGAGGTGCTCACACTTGCTGCTGATCATTTACTCAAGTGCATTTGATCAGCAGCACCTGGCTGCTGCTTACACTCTTAATTCCAATGGAAGCTGTACAGGTGTAGAGCTGCAGTTAATTAATTCAATAAAAACGTCCTTAGTCTGTTTTTGTAACGTGTAAGTTAGCCTTGGAATAGATTCACAAGCATTTAAAACAGACCACCTATCTGCCTGATCAGATCTTTTACCAGGACAGGGGAGGTGTGTGCAGTAACTCTTATCACTTCAGTACGTAGATGCTGGTGACCCTGTGGGCACAGTTCTGCCCAGTATCACTCTTATCAGCTGCATATACTGAAAACAGGTTTGCAGAGTTATATCAGATTGATCATGATGTCCTGACATGCTTCGTGTTAGCTATTCGTGTTTTACGTGTCTTCCTGCATCATTTTTCTGATTGTTCTGCTGCACCAGACCGCTCATATGCCTGGGGTCTGGCTAACCATGTGAATCAATTTCTTCTAAGCAGCTGATAATAACCCACATTAGCTCCTTTATCTATATCACCACATGCTCCAACACACAGTACAAAGAGATCCTCCGAGGCCAAATTAATTGCTTCTCAAGGTGCTGTGATCTATTTGCTAATTTGAGATAGCCGCCCTGAGGAGAAAAGATCAATACAGCTGGATGGAGGGAAACAACCACAATACTTAAGCACTGACAGCCACAATTTAACCTGGTGGAGGTGCTGGATGAGTCTGTTTTTAAAGACATGCCACACACACACATGAAGACACACTACATTGCCAACATTTTTTACTCAGTCATCCAAATCACTGAGTTCACGTGTTTCAATCACGTTGATGGCCACAGGAGTATAAAATCAGATGTCAGATGCGGTGGTATAAAGCACACCACCAGTGGACTCTAGAGCTGTGGAGATGTGATGAATCACGCCTCTCCGTCTGGCAGTCTGACGGACGAGCCTGGGTATGGTGGTTGCCAGGAGAACAGTACTTGTCTGACTGCACTGTGCCAACTATAAGGTTTGGTGAAGGGGGGATTATGGTGAGGGGTTGTTTTTCTGGAGTTTGGCTCGGCCTCTTAGTTCCAGTAGAAGGAACTCTTAATGTTATAGCATAACAAGACATTTTGGACGATTTCAGCTCCCGATTTTGTGGGAACAGTTTGGGGATGGTCCCTTCCTGTTCCAACGTGACTGCACACCAGTGCACAAAGCAAAGTCCATAAAAACATGGATGAGGGAGTTTGGTGTGGAAGAACTTGACTGGCCTGCACAGAGTCCTGACCTCAACCTGAACACCTTTGGGATGAATTAGAGTGGAGACTATGAGCCAGGCCTTCTGATCCAACATTAGTGTCTGACCTCATAAATGTGCTTCTGGAAGAATGGTCAAAAATTCCCATAAACACACCGAACCTCGTGGAAAGCCTTCCAAGAAGAGTTGAAGCTGTTATATCTGTATTGAGAATGGGCTGTCACTCAAGTTCATATGCATGTGAACGCAGACGAGTGAACTTTTGGAATGTAATGCATGTTGTTCCAACCGTGGTGGGGGGACACATTTACATGTACATACATACATTATATATTTCTGAACATTATTGTTTAATTGGAGATTCAAAGAGGTGAAACAAAGTAAAAGCATGAGGAAAGTGAGCAAAAGTTTTATTTAAAAGTAAGCATGTCACTGCTGTGATGCATCAGTATTTACAGAAGCTGACACAAGTAGTTAACTAAACCTGGGAAGTATGCACGGTCTGTCTGCATGCTTTACAGTGGCAGTTTATCTGTGTATCACCACAACTTAACATGATAATTAACAGAGGTGTGACGAGGGAGTGTTACATCGCTAACGGCTTCTTCTGACACCCTGACAAGGAAGCAAACGTTGATGCTGCGATGACTTGACGAGCTGTGTCAGTGAGCTGTAGCAGTTAGGAAGACATGAAACTGCATGTTTGTTAAAGCCGATGTCTATATTCATTGTGCTCTTTATTGGCTTTGTGTGGGCTGTGAAACATCCTCAGGAAGTAACATTTGGTAACTCTCAGTGTAAAGAATGTAGAAGTCAGCGTAGTGTATATTGAAAATATTGATACTACTTGCCATGAAAAATGAACTGTAAAGGCTGTGAAATGGGTTCTCGAACATTTTGGGTCTTTTAAGAAGCTCAGAGTGAACGGCAGAAGTGCACTTGAGCAAGAAGTTGCACAATATGAAGCTACTGTACCTTTTGACCTCAGAGAGTATGAAAAGACTCAACACAGATTAATAAATGTTCCAAAGCTTTT